AGGTAATTAAGTTTATCAGTTTGAAAGACCACAACCAGAGTTTTGAAGATATTTACCATCAATTTGAGATTTATTATAGCAAATTTCATTATTCGAGTAGGTACTTTTGTTGCTTTTGGTCCCACATCACACCTATCAAGCAGCCTTATTTGGGGGAGAACCAAGAGAGGTGGTTAGTCATTTATAGAGTTCTCTTTGGTGGATGAAACAGAGACCTATGTAAAGAGCCCCTTACCCTGAATCCCCCTTGACACCAGCACTTCCGTTGTGGAGTCTCCCGCTGGTCTGTGTGTGTGACGGAGCACGGCAGGTGAGGTGTAGACCCGGAGCCACGCTGCATGGTTTCGTGTGCTGGTTCTGCTGCTCCTGTGCTGTGCTTTCATTTCCTTTTCAGTGATGGGGATCATTATGGTGCCTGCCTCATAGAAAATTTGTAAGGGTTAAATGAGCTATTGTACGTGGCACTTAGAACAGTACCTGCACATGCTCAGCATGTGTGTTTACCACAGTGACGGCCATAACACTGAATCAGCTGGCTTGCTGTACCGCAGTGACATCTGCTTTCCTGTGTGATGCAATCACAAGTGATCAGATGAAGTGAGCTCTGTTTACTCAGCCTCGTGGCATTTCACAATTTTCCTCACTGTTCAAAGCTCTTCAGTGTTTTAAGATACAGTTAGAAAATTTTTTCCCTAAGATTTTTAAGTGGAATTAAGTTTATTTACTCTTGATTTTTTTTACTCATATTTAGTTTAAACAGAACCACATCTCTGTTTGTCATCATATTTTTGAAAACCATATAATTCTTAACTTACTTTATTTTTGGCCTGCTTCTAGGTCTTCTTTAAAATCCCACAATGTTTCAACTGGTATAACTCCCAACCCCTCATTAAGATAGAAGGCATTACATTAGTGGTAGTGATAGTTAAAAGAAAAAGTTCCGGCTACTAGGTGTATAATAACTTAATTGATAAGACATTTCTGTGGCTAAGAGACTGTTTATCTTGGTTTTAAGTTCTAAAATGTAGAACTTAAGTAGAGAAACGTAGCTTGAAAAGTTGTACAGATTTGAAAATAACTAGGAAAGCACTGTATTGTTGCTAGCCTGATTAAAGTAACAGTGTTTATTATTGAAAATGCTCCCTTGGGTTAAATATTTACATTCATGGTCTTTGTCAAGAGTGTTAAAATTTAAATTGCAAGCATCTGTGAGATAATTGGAATTTACAGTAATCATAGGAAAAAATAATCTTTTTATGTAAGTTGATAACATACGTTTCTTCCTTGGTGCTACTTTACATATTTAGTAAAATACAATAACTTTTATATCTGTGTGTTTACAGGGAAGTGGTAAAACGGCAAAAAGAGGTTGTAATCATTCAAACTTCTCTGGAACAGAAACGGTTAGAGAAGCATAACATGTTGCTTGATTGCAAAGTTCAAGACATTGAAATAGTTCTTTTGTTGGGGTCATTGGATGACATCATTGAAGTGGAGGTATTCTAGCAAATGATTTTAAAGTATGTGCAGTCGTGTGGAACTTAATGTAATGCCTTTGGCTGGTTAGTGAAGTCCCAGCTATGCAGATTCTTCCTCTTGTTCTAAAGCCTCTTTGGGGGCAGAAAAGACATCTTCTCCTCCTAGGAGGAAAAAAGTGAAAAATGATCATCACTCCAGAGGACTGGGCATTTTGTGCAGTTCTATTCTTTCTCTTGCTAATCCATGTCATTTTAGCTCCACAGGACGGACTGGAGCTTTTTTGTAACCTATAGATAGAGGAATCAGAGAATGAAAGCCGTTGGAGTTAGGGACATTTCGGGGAGGTGGTGTTAGCCACCGTGAACCGCAGGCCACATGCCAGGGGGCTGCTGTGCTGTTGTGACATTGTACATGGTGTGTGGAGGTATCTTGCTGTGCACCTGCACCATCCACATGAGATGGTTCTCAGAAGAAACATGCTTCACTGAGTCTGTCCAAGTGGTGAGAGTGTGGGGGAGGCAAGATTAGACACCCAAGGAATCGGAAGATGAAACCGAAGTCTACTAATGGTGACATCTCTCTGTTTGCCTTTTTTTCTTTCTTTCTCATCACATTTATATTACACCATACTCTTTAGATTGGCTGGAAGTATATACATCCTTAGTTCTGTGGCTCATGTTAGGAAAGATAGGACTATACAGTTCAGAAAGAAAGTTTCACTATTAGCTGATCCAGAAGGTGGCGAAAATAGTTATTTGTTTTGCCTCTCAAGTTATTTCTTGAGTTCTTTGGTGAATCTCGTCTGTGGTTTCCCTTTCCACATGCCTCCTCCCCTTTCTGCTCTGCCCTCCGTCAGGAATCCATTCAGTCCCAGCCAGTTTTCTACTCCAGAAGAGGCCTTCAGCCCTTTGGGTTCTTCAGTATGAAGTATCTATAAAATAACGTTTCTCTTGCTAATATTGACCTCTTACCATAGCATAGTTCTGGTGTGATATTGCACTCAAAAAGTCTTTTTTCTCTATTTTAGCAAAGATCACCTTTCAGACAGAAGGTAAGGAAAGGAGAAGACCCTTTCCTGGCCACAAGTGTCATAAACCCCACTCAGATGGCTTTAAAGAGGGGAAGGGGTAGGGCTGGAATGGAGGCGGTCTCACACATGACTCGGTCCAGGAAGTTAAACGTTGTCAAGAACTCTTTCTGGCTCAGTATGTATTGGCTTTGTTCTCTCAGGTCAGCTTTCCCCACAGGAAACCACTCACTTTGACCAGAGGAGAAAGACAGCTCTCCCCTGTCCTCTCTGTTAGAAAAATCCTGGGGAAGAACTCTGGTTGGCTCATTCTAGGCTGTGTGTCCAATCTTAATTAAGGGTGCAGAGAGAGGAGAGGGAGGGGCCTGTAACAGCAGAAGTGGATGGCAGCAGAAAAACAGTACTCCCTGGGCTATAGAGAGAAATGGAAAGTCTGTAAAGGCAGCGTAGTTTTAGGAGGGGTTCATCGCAGAACAGTGCAGAGGAGGAAGCAGGTTTAGTGACCGACATCTAAGTAAATGCTGTTGGTCAAGTGTTCATGCTGCTGCTTTGATCCTGTTGTTCTTTCAGCTAGTGCACTTTCAGAAGTATTCCCCAACATGCCCACCATGAATGTGGAATTACGCTTTATCAGCGTGAATGGCTTTCATGTTCCTAGCGGGGTATTTCAAAGCAGGTGTTAAGACCTGGAGCAGGATTAACACTGAATCATTATCTGAAAAGAAAAAGTGATAGTTCTGCTCCACTTTGTGCTAGTCAAGTCACTTTCTAAAGCTTGATGCTTTTTGAGAGAAAAGTGTCCAGGATAGTGAGAAGGCCCAGACCACATCATGCTGGAAAGAGAAGGCTTAGGGAGTATGGTTACTCCTCCAATAGAAGGTCTGTCATAGAAGGATCATACTTGTTCTTTCTGGTCCTAAGGGGAATACTAGGGTTGGGGGGTAGAGGGCAGAATCAGATTTCTTCTGCTAGGGAACACTTCCTACTAGAAAGAGGGAGGGCCTCTAGTGGTGAGTTCCCTGATTGGAATTTTGCAAGCACATCAAGTAGTGGCCGTGTAATGGGGATGCTGTACAAGGTTGTCTGTAAATCCCCAAACAGAAGGGGTCTTAGGTATGAACTGTCTCTCTCCAGAGGGCGGGGGAAAAGATCACTGAGTAGAATTAACTGACTTACAACAGCATTTGTAGGAGTAATTGTGCACGTGAAGCATCTGGGGATCTTGTTGCCTAAGAGATTGCATTCCTGTTGGCTCCCAGGTGAGGCCCACTGTTACTGGCCCACTGACCACACTTTGAATAGCAAGGCATCAGAGGACTCATGTAGAAGCTTAATGCAAAATACGATGTTGAATCACCTCAACAGGAATCGTGACAGTCAGCGATTCACTGTTACATTTTGTATTCAAGCTCCACTTCCGTGCGAACCATTTTAACATGGGTGCGTTACATAAAATGCAGACTTAATTCCAAAAGTAGTTTCATTGGGTTTGTTTCAGCTGAGAACATCTAGGGCGAAATGTGTGACACAGGCTTTTTTTCTCTCTTAATTTGTGAGTCTTGGTTTTTGGTATCAGCATTACACCAGAGACCAGCCTACAACGGAAGAAGTACTTATTTCGTTCCTTCTTTCCTAGTCCTTTCTTCTTTCAGAGAATGATATATATTGAAATTGAAATATTATATGTTGTCAACATTGCACCGAGAATACGGCAGTGAATACAACTGCCCAGGATCTCTTCCTTCATATTCTATCACATGCACGAAAACAAAATGGTGAACAAATGAAATACCTACGTGTTTGGTGATGATACAGGCTAAAGGAAGTATAAAGGAGGAAAAGGAAAAGAGAGTGTTGGTAGAGGAGAGTTTGCAGTCTTAGATGCAGAGGCCACGGACGTCTTGCGAGAAGGCAGCTGGTTAGTAGTGGAGGTAAAAGAAGTGATGCAGACATCAGGGGAAGGTTGTCCAGGCAGAGGGCAGCGTGCCGGTTCTCAGGTGGACATGTGCCTTGTCTGTTCAAGGAGGGCAGTGCGGTTGGAGCAGAGTGAGTACCAGGAGACTGGCACAAAATGAAGTCAGTGAAAGGGTAGCAGAGGGCCAGGTCATCATGGCCTTGCAAACCAACATAAGCATTTTAACTTTTAATCTGATTGAGGTGTTAACCAACTAGATTGGGGCAGGAGGATAAAGAGATCACCATTTCAGATGACAAAGAAAGGGCTTCATATGTTTTTCAGTTGGGCACTGAAGCGGAAAGTACCCAGGCAACACTTGATATATACGAGAAAGAAGAAGCCATTGAGATAGACTACAGCTCTCTAAGGGAGGACTTGAAGGTAACGGAAAGGTTTCTGTTGTTATGACTAACTCATGGTAATACTGAACATTTAAATACTACAGAATAATTTTTAGATGCCAGAGCATAAGTTTAGGGGAAAAAGTAGATTTCCTAATGATTTTTTAAGAAATAGTGTGAATAGGTTACATTTTTTAATGTTTAAAACAGTTAGAATGTTTATACCAGCATTTCTCACCGTGTGTCCTGTAGAGCACCAGTACCATGAAATGTCTTGCCAAAGAAAAGTTTCTGCCAGTTTTTTGAAAGGCTCTTCCCTTCTTGGAGATTCACAGTGAATAATGAAGTCTTTGAGAAGCCCTGAAGTAGACAAAAGTGGCCGACATACTCTGGCATCAGGGACACTGCCCCGTCAGTGTCCCAGTGTGGTCCCCTCAGTAAGTGACCAGTCGTTCACAGCTGCAGGGCACAGAGCTGGAGCCCGGCATCATGGTGTCTAATTCGGCAGCTCTGACTCTGCTTCTCAGTCATCCCTGCAGCCATACGATGCTTTGAGTTTTGGCTTCATCCAGAGGCTGCTTCTCTCATGAGGGCAAGATGACCGCAGTCTTTCTTGGCCTTCCAGCCACACAGCCACCACCCTCAGAGAAGTCAGAAGACTGTCGTTAGTGGTGCTGCTGCTCTTAAGATTGAAGAAAGGCTTTTCCCACAAAATTTCAGCAACTGCCCCCTCATCACAGTGGCCTGAAGTAGGTCATGTGTTCATTCCTGACTGGTCACTGTTGCATGGGGGGTGATGTAGCTTTAGACCAAGCAGGGTTCAGGGGACCCATGAGGGAGAAATGGTCAGACGTGGGCTCTGTTAGGAAGGAAGGAAGGGAGAGTGGATGCCAAGTAGCAGTACCCACCACATCCTTTCACGTCATGTGTCTCCTATATGTTTTGTTAGATTTTGTTTGGGCTCTTTTGATTGTACTTGTACTTTTGGCAATCAGAAAAAAATCTTGTCTTTTTTATGATCTATTCAGTGGTTTCATATCTATAAAGTCCTTCCCCACCACATTCCTGTTAATGGTTTTCTTTTGTTTTCATTTACCTATTTAATTCATCTGAAATTTATTTTTGTATGTAATATGAGGTAAGAATCTTTTTAAAAAGGTACCTGAGTTAACCAGTTCACTCAACATTTTTCAAATGATCCTTTTTACAATGAATTAAAACGTCGCCTTTATCGGCTATTAATTCCTTCTGGGAGGTCAAAAAAGTTTTCCTGGAATGTGATATCGACGCCACTTTCTCCCTTCCCTCCTCACTCAGGTTAATTCCGTTCACTGTCTAGGTTTAGCTGAAGGGTTACCCCTCGGGATGCTCGGACCCCTCTGCCTGCCCCACAGACCTCCATGCTTGCCTGGTGGAGGGTTTCACACTGCTGCAAATGCCAGCTTACACATCTGGCTTCCCTGTGAGCGCTTTAAGGACAAGGACAGAGCAGTTTTCACTGCTGATTCCTCAGTGTCTAATACATAGTAGATGAGCAATATTTTTTAGTGAACAAGTAAATGAAGTGATATATGCATCGTTACTTTTTCGGCTCGATGAAGAAATATGAAGACGAAGCGCGTTCCAAGAGAGCAGCGTCTGTGACGCGAGAGCTGTGAAAGGGCACAGCCAACAGGAAGCTGCATGTAGTGCAGCCTGGCCTCACTGCAGACTCGGAGGGCTGTGAGGGAGGGCAGGCCTGGGTGCGGGGGAGCAACGCAGGGGCCAGGGCCTGATTGCCTTAGCACTTTGGGTCTAAAAGCCAGGCTAATCACTGCTGTCCTTTGCCAATAATAGGCTCTACAAACAGATAAAGAAGTTGAGGCCCACCTTAGACTCCTGCGGCAACAGATAGCCTCCCAGGAGGATGTCCTGTTGAAGACAGCAGCCCCCAACCTCAGAGCCCTGGAGAACCTGAAGACGGTCAGGGACAAGTTTCAGGAGTCCGCAGACGGTGAGGCTGGGCTTTAGCGCTGCCAGGATCACGTCCGTGGGCATTCTGTAACGCTAACCAATAATCCCCCCTGGATTGTACCTTTGTTTTTATTATGCATATTTTTCCTCTGTTGTCTTAAAGTAGCATTCTTTTAATTCTGAGTCACTAATTCCTTCCTTTTTGAAAACTGTTCTGCTTTAATTTAAAAACAGGTGTATTGGTTATTTTAGAATAGGCAACGTTTTGTTTCATACCAGCATGAGAGGCATATTAGATCCTCTGTTGGAATTTGTTATTATTTAAAAATTAGACCTACTAGAAAAAGGGCTCTTCAATTTTAAGAGTCATTTTCTTGGAATTAATAACACTTGATGTATTTTGAAGGTAGACTTTACTAAAGAGAACCAGACTCAAAATCCAATGTTAGAAATATTTTATGCTTTAAAGTTGAGAAAACCTTGGTGTTCTCCAAAATAAAGAACATTGATTCTCTCTTAGCTTTTGAGGCCAGCAGAAAGGAAGCCAGAATATGTAGGCAAGAGTTTGAACAGGTGAAAAAAAGGAGATACGATCTTTTCAGCCAGTGTTTTGAGCACGTCTCAGTCTCAATTGATCAGATCTACAAGAAGCTCTGCAGAAACCACAGTGCCCAAGTATGTATTTTTCACCCCCAAGTTTGAGTGGGAACTTTGTGTTGTTGTGGGGGTTTTTCCTGGTGGGAAATTGCCACCACACTGTTTGAGCAACTCACTTAACGGGGCAAAGGCAACTCGTGAAGACTGGCTGTCACAGTGACCCGTGTTCTAGATCCTACTCGCTCCACCACTGGCCAGCCGGGACAAGCCAGACTCTTCCTGGTCCTGGTTCTTCATCTGCAGAATGAGTGGGTTAGATCATTTGGTTTCCAAGTTCTCTTCAGCTCTGAAATTCTGTTACGTGGTACAAACTTGAGTTTATAGAGCTGTCAGTGGTCTGTGTAGTAGTTAGGGTAATGGAGAGCCTGTGAATCCGGAGTCTGTGGAGTTGCCTAGAGTAACAAAGGAGAAGGAAAGAACTAAAGGCAAGACTCAGATCTAGATACATGCCCCTTGTGACGACGGTCTCCCCGTTCCATGGTCAATGTCCATAGCAGAGAATGTGGGATGGAATGTGTTCCAAGGATCAGATCTTAGACACCTGCTCTCCCCGGTAATCTTGAATCAGATATTTAGAATTGCAACCAAAAATACCTTACTTGTTTTCAGTAAAGTAGGACTAAAATAAACCGCTGATTCCTTGAGGGCAGGATTCATCTCTGTTTCCATAGTACCTGGCCCATGATAGGTGTTCAGTAAAGATTTGACGAAAGGGCCAATGAGTGATTTGAATGAAGATTGTTTTCATGAGGCTGCGGCATATGGTGGAGGGCAGTCTGGTGGGAAGGCTCACCCCTGATGCCTGTGGCGGTGTTTTCCCTCTGCTCCCCAGCCGGACAGCCCTGCTGTCTGAGCACATGGAGAGCTAAATACGTTATTTACGAACATTGGTATCTTTCCATCAAAATGGAGGAAAGTCTAATCAATGGTATTCTGCAGTTAAACTCTGTGGCTGTTGAAACTTGCTAATAGCTTTTCTGATACTGCTGAATAAATAACATGTGTTTCAGGCATTTCTTAGCCCAGAGAACCCGGAAGAGCCTTACCTGGAGGGAATTAGCTATAACTGTGTGGCCCCAGGCAAAAGGTTCATGCCGATGGATAATCTGTCAGGGGGAGAGAAGTGTGTGGCGGCTCTGGCTCTCCTGTTCGCTGTGCACAGGTAATCAGTTCATTACTTGTCTTTAGTCATGTTATGTATGTGATACAGAACAATTTTTTTCAGCCAGACAATTCAGGTTATGTTTTAGGCCTAGAACAATTTAGATAGCTAATCTAAGAGAGAATTCTGTTCTTGACAGATTTTTATTCAGTTTCTTACTGTCAGTATCTACTAATATTCCATCTTTATAGGAATCAGAAAGAAAAAAAAGGAGTATCAGTGGCCACACATGAAATCAGGATTGCCAAAAACAGTAACAACAAACCCAAACAAAGTAAAAACACCTAACTTGTATACTGTTTTCCTAATCCCTGTGCGAGGATCTGCTAGTTAGTAGTGAATGTTAAGCAATTTCTTCTGGGACAAAAATGTTTAACCTCATTTCTGCTGATGATGGTGGCACTGTTTGTAAAATAAATCAAGGGAAAAAAGGGTTAGCTAAAATTAAGGCAAATTTCAACATTCAAAGCTTTAGATGAAGATCTAAGGTATAGATGATGCTGCCTCTGTTTTCATTATCAGGAAGATGAACATAAAAATTTTACAACTGTTTTTACTGGTCTCAAGGAAAAGGAATTGGCCATTACACTAAAGGGAGCCTGAGTTGAGTAAATCTTAGCAGAATAAGACTATTACTGGGTGCCATCTCCATCCATTTATTCAGCAAACATTTATTAAATATTTACTGTGTGTCGAGAGGTGGTACAGGCCTTACAGAGACAGCAATGAAGAAAACAAATGCCCTGTCTCAAAGATACTTCATTTTAGTTGGTGAAGATAAATAAGGTGATAAATAAGGAATATAGTAAACTAATTCTCCAACATGGAGGCTATTAGAAAATGACAGATGCTGTAGAGACAACGAAAGAAGGGAGGTAGTAAGTAAAGAATGGTTTGCAGCATTAAAGCCTCCTGGGAAAGCCCATTTGAAAAGTAACATTTGAGCAAAGATTTGAAGGAATTAATTAAGGGAGCAAACCTTGTGGATGGATATTCTAGGGGAGAATTCTAAGGGAAGAATATTCTAGACATGAGGAACGACAGGTGCAAAGGCCCAAAGGCCAGAGTGAGCCTGGCACCTGCACAGAGCAGGCTGCAGCAGCAGCAGGCACAAGGTTAGGGAAGTGCTATGCTGATCGCGGTGGAAGATGATGGGCTGGACCCGGGTGGGACGGAAGGCTGGGCAGACAAGGCGTGGGGTATGAGGGAGTCAAGGGGTGACTCTCTGGGTTTTGGCCCAATCAACTGGCGTGATGAGAGCTGCTGTTAACTGCGAGGGCGAAGACCACGGGAAGGAGTAGGTTTGGAGGGGCAGGTGGGTTTACTCTGCATGATTTTGAGTTATTACACCCACATGGAGTTGTTGAGTAAGCCACTGGACATGTGAGGTGAGGGTTCAAGAGAGAGGTCAGAAGTATCAATAGAAGCGTGGGAGCCATCGGTGTATGGATGATACCTAAAACCTTAAGATCAGATGAAATCACCAAGGGAGCTAATTAGGTAGAAGTGCTCTAAGCACTGAGCCGCAAAGGCACCCCAGCATCAAGAAGTCAGATGAGGAGTTGGCAGAAAAGACTGGGAAGGACAGTGGGTGAGTCAGAGGAACGGGGAGAGGAGCACCCCAGATGCCACCTGCAAAGGTCACATGGGATGCGGACTGAGACTTGAGCACCGTGTTTAGCAACACAGAGGTTACTGGTGACGTAGACAGAAGCATCCAAAAGGGTGAATCATTACCCTGAATGCTGTTAGTCCTCTCCTCCACGGCTTCAGTGAAACAGAGTTATAACTTGATTGTAATCTTTTTCTAGTTTTCGGCCTGCTCCATTCTTTGTTTTAGATGAAGTAGACGCAGCCCTGGACAATACTAACATTGGCAAAGTAAGTTTCTTTCTGCCCTTAATTTCCAATAGAACGTCTACAATTCAAGTGTCATGTTGCAGTCAGATGACAATTTACTCCGAACAAACTATGTTTGTTTGATAACTGCTGATTAAAAATAAAATCTAAGTTAAATATCTAAAAACAAGATGCATCAGGGTAGTAGTTTTCATTCAAGATTTAGTGGACCCTCAGTGAGCTGTTGAGGAGTCAACACAGGGAGTCAGGTGGGTGAGGACCACTCTGCTGAACCCACAGCATTGCTGCTGGGTCACTTGCTTTTCCTCAAGGCCCCTGAGCATTGGGACCTAGAGGGTCCTTAATAGTAGACCCCATGGCCAACTGGACCAAGTTAGTTATTTAAGAAAGTCCAAAAATAACGTGTGTAAATAAAATTCCAAAGGAATTACAGTTCGAAATTCTGTCCCACTTGTTTATTAAAATTTACCCAGTTACCTCACTTGTGTATGATCCCGTTCTCAGCATTTGCGACTGAGGAAACTAAGGGCACAGTTTAACTCTTGAGAATCCAGTTTGAGGTCAGTGTTAAAGATCAGTGCACAGATACACAAAGCCACCTGGAAGAGACAGGCTCTCAGACCACACGTCTTGACTAAATTTTTGACATGAGGATGGGCTTGGCCATGGAAGTATGACCAAAGGATGGAGGCAAACATGGGCAGCGCCCATCACTGCCCAGGGCTGGGACAGCTCCGTCCTGCAGATTCCCAGGGTCATGGTCCTATGCCAGAGCCATCCGTTTTCAGAAATGGATGAATTAAACTCCTGGTTCTGATTCCAGGTTTATCCATCTTCCGAAAATGACTGGCCTTTGCATTTCCAGCTGTTCACAAAGAGGCTGCTCTAGTCATGCTGACAGAGACCTCTCATTGCTAATTTGTAAACAGGCCTGCTTTGTGCTCTTCGTCAGCGAGCCCACCCCCGAGAGAGGTACCCACTCTCGGGGTGCCACCTCGACAGGCTGAGTCTCTGAAGCCGACCTCCCTGATTTCTTTCTCTGCTGAGAGTCAGAGGACTTTCAGGAGGTGCAGCTTGAGGTACCTTCTCATGGCAGCCTTTGCCAGGCTGTGTTCATCCTACCCAAGTCTCTCCAGGACCTTGCTTTTTGACCACGTCGCAGTATACGTGAGAAGCCACACCCACAAAAGTTAGAAAAGTCCTGAGTCTTGTAGAGAACAGACAAGAACCACATTCTGTGACCTCCCAGACTCCAGGGTAACTGGGGAAAAGGACAGCAGAACAAAAAACCTCGATTTGTCTCTCTCGAATGCCAGCCAGTCTGCATCAGCTAACTGGGCCCCATAGCCTGACTCATTTGGGAGAAAGTTCCCCTTAGGTTAATTTTAGCACTTTTTCCCCGTTTCCTTTGTGTCTTTGTTGGGTGGAGGTGGGGATCCATCACTGTGGACCACCCTTCTCTTGGTAGCATTTAAGGTATCCCTGTCTTCTACTAAATTTAGATGTTTGTGTTAGTGGCATCTTCAGGTAATAGATCTTACTTAAGACTCTTTTCCATTGGCACAAATCATATATATTGAAAACCTCTTGATTTCCACTTTCCCTTTGAGATTTACATCCTGGTACCCACTGCCGACTTGAGTTCGAGCAGTTACATGGCATGAGCAGCTGTGAGGGCGCTCCACTCCCTCTTGTCATCAGGGCGCCCAACGTTTGTTACAGGCAACTCTGCTAGCAACATGCATGCCTTACTGCTTGCACCCCATCCGTATCAAGACTTTAAAGTCCTCTGTGGCTACCATCGATTCTAATGCTGGAGTTCCTTCTGTCTGTGAACTCAGCCTTTTAGCCCAAAGCAGTTTCCCTCCTCTCATCATTCGCCTCGGCTGGTGACTCATTCCTCAACCAACGCTGCTGTTCCTGCTTCCAAACTTGTGTTCTTAGTGTAGTCAGGACCCCTACACGTGAAGAAGACTCTCTAGGCTTGCAGAGAGATCCAAGCAGCTGGCAAGTATCTTATAAAACTGTGGTTTGAGTTTAGGTTATTCTTTATCATTCTCCAGATTCTGAGTAGTTTGTTCACCAAGACCTGTTTCTGTCCAGTCTATTTTGTTTTTATTCTCATTCCTTAGAATTCAACCTCCTGAAGCAGCCATGAGTTTCCCTCTAACCCAGAGACTTGACTGCAGATGATGAATACATATATAATTGCCATATTTCTCCCACCTTGAGGCTTTAAGTTGGCAATATAGGGAGTTTTAAGTACCACCCCTTCTTTACCCTCATAAAGTACCTGAGTGGTAATTTTTGTTCTACCTTGTTGTAGAAGGTTGATTGCATATTCACAATAGTACCTTAAGTTAGAGCTTTATTCTTAAAAACAGTCTTCAGGTTTTCAATCATAGATTTAGTGAGGTTTATATTTTTCACTAACCTCTTATTTTGGAATCTGAGCTATTTCCATTTCTGCAGTTATAGCGGGTTTACTGAATTACCAGAAGGGGGAGTACGTGCCTCGTGACCTAAAAGGGCAGGTTCAGAGACGTGCAGAATCGCTGACCTCAGAGCCCAGGAACAGGGCTTTTCCTTACTGATGAAATGCGTGCTTTCTGTTTCCTCCCAGGTATCAAGTTACATCAAAGAGCAGGCTCAGGAACAGTTTCAGATGATAATCATCTCCCTCAAAGAGGAGTTCTATTCCAAAGCTGATGCACTGATAGGCATCTATCCAGAGGTAAACAGAAGTAAAGGGGCAGAGGAGTAAAACCACCTTCGTGGTGCCCTCACAGCACAATTACAGGTTCCTGATGGAATCTAGATGCTGTTTGATTTCTGCAGTTGATGAACATAGGCTTAAATGATTTTTTAATCAAATAAGATTTAAAAGTAACTATTATGGCAGTACACAGAGATTTAAGATATATTTTAAGTGAAAAAACAAACTGAAAAATTGCAGAACAGTTAAGTATGATAGTTTTGTTTGTAAAATAATAGTACCCGTTAACTTACAGAGTAAGCCCTCGATATTGTATTTATTTCTGTAGTGTCTGAATGCTTTAGGCAAAAACAAATGCATGTGGTAGAGCCAACAAGGAACCATTTAGCCTCCAAAAGTACCAGAGGGGAAAGGAAACTGACTACAGTTCCAAGTCGTAGAGTAACTTCTAGAATTCAAACCCACCTTTCTGAAAAGCTGTTCAAATACTCACCTGAGCTAGTGGGGCAGAGCCTCTCATTCAAATCCTTCAGTTCGTGGACAATCAGGTTTCACTTCCCGAGTTTTCCTTTAAGCTAAGATAAATATTAATTTCCCTTCCTGTGCCTAATTAATGTCAAGGAGTCACTGGAAATATTCTGCAGGAGAGAAATGGAAATTCTCGTTACCAGTGTAGACAGAAATAAAATCTTTTTCTACCCATTTCAGGTTCTTTGGCTGAGAACCCTGTAAATTAGACGCACGAAAGACAGAGTAACGAGAGCAAAGCAGTTTATTAGCGCGTGCATCACCCACGTACACGTGGGCACGCCCAGCGATGAGTAACTGCAGGGGGGCCAGAACTGGGCCTGTACCCCCACCACCTTAGGCTAAAATGAGAAGAGGTTTCTGGGTAATAGGCAAGTGGTGAGAAGGTGACTAGGGAAAGTATGGTAAATGAGGTTGTTCGATCGGGTTCGCTCTGCAGATTCAGCTAGGTGCCTTCTCCACTGATGAGGAGTGAAGAGGGTGTCCCCTCTCACATAAATGTGAGCTCCCTTTCCTGCAGGGAGCTTGTGCCTAGTTGGTGGAGCCTGTCCTCATCTGCTGCTTCTCAGGAGCCTCTAGCTCAAAATAATCCACGTGCAAGAGGCATATTTTGGGTGGCATGTTCTGGTACCCTTTACTAGCTAATACAAGACATAAATCAATCTGATGTAAGTGTGGACGAGTGGTACCTTTTTAGGTGGCTATAAAGAGGTTCCTTTTTAAATGCAAATCTAGACCCACTAATGGCCCTTATTTTACATTCGATAGCACTTTTTTCCCTAAGTAAAGGCACTGACTTTTAACTGTCTTCTCTCCCATTTCAGCATGATGACTGCATGTTCAGCCAAGTTCTGAGCCTAGATCTTTCTCAGTATCCAGACACTGAAGGCAGAGAAAGCAGCAGAAGACAGCCTGAGCCCCGTTAGGACGTTAGGACGCGGAGTGCCAGTGAGTGGCTGGCAGCTGAGAGCGAGGTCAGACAGGTCAGGCCGAGCGCTGCGCGGCGCTCCCTGCGCGGTCCTGCTGCTTGAGTAACAGGCTCCCGGGGCTGCGCGGCTACTCGGCTCGTGTGCCACATGAGAAGCCCAACCGTTACCTCCCGAAGGTGCTACCGCTCACTGTAGTCAGAGTATTCAGTAGGCGGGGTTTCCTACACAAGTTAGCTTTAATGAGTTTAAAAAAAAAAGGTAGTTTTGTACCATAGTTTTACCTTCCATTTCGAAAGCCAGGCAGGCAGTCTTTGACTCCTGCATCATCTCACTGATCTCGCCTTGTACGTTAGGTAATCTTCAAGGGAAACTCTTGGTTTCTAAATATATTAGTTATAGGTTGTTGAACCTGTGTTATATGGAAAATTATATCAGAGGAACTGAAGTCAGTATTGAAAATACCAATAAAAGTATTCTAATTTCAACTGCCTACAATCTATAACTTTTAGAAACTAAAAATTAAGGTGAAATTGAATTGTATCTGTTTCAATGCAATCTACATTTTTCTAAATATAATTTGTTAAAAAGTAAACACTGAAGACAGGCTTTCCCAAGTGACAACTGACTTTTCTACTTAAACACAGTCATCCCTTGTCATCTGTGGGGACTGGGTTCCGGGATTCCCCACAGAGACCAAAATCCAAGGATGCTCAAATCCATTATATAAATGGTAGTGTCTGCATATAACCTGTGCACATCCTCCCCATATTTTAAGTCATCTCTACGTTATAATACCTAGTACAATGTAAATGCTGTGTAAATAGTTGCCGATATACAGAAGATTCAAGTAGTGCTTTTGGAACTTTCTAGAATCCTTTTTTTCCCATCAGCTATTTTTAATCTGAGGTTGGTTGACTCTCCAGATACAGAACCCAGGGATACAGGGGGCCCACTATACATTGTTTGGGGTAGGAAAAAAGTTGCAGAGTTTTCAATAGTACTTCATTCCCATTTCAAAATTAAAAAATTCTAGGGAGCTGGTTGCTCTGAACTTAAGACTATCTGGGCCCAAGTGCTGACCGAGGAGCGCCTCCTGAAGCAGTCTGAACGACACTCATTATTTCACGCGCTCTGTGCCTAAGAAACAGACTAAGTCACAAAAACCTTGCTCCCTGGCCTCCTCCAGCTGATCTCTAAGAACTTTAATAGCAGAAGCCACTGTATTTGTCCTTTTTTAGTGCTTGTAATACATCTACATCACCGCCTCCCTCTGCCTTGAAAGACACCAGCTTGACACTGAGCTGTCCGTTTGGTGCCATGTGAGCTCAGCATAGACCCTCTTCTTTGCTGGGGCTGTTCTCTCCTAACCTGGACTCATGGACTGTCGGTGATCTTCAAAGTAGGATCCCTGTTCTGACGCGGTCCACCCACACTCCTGAAAACCCCGTGCTACGCAGAAGCACACGATGGAGAGCACGGGTGATGGGAAACACGGGGTGGGGGCACCGTACTGAAAAAGGAAGACAGGACCCTAGTACATAGCTGGCTTTACACATGTTAAACGGTTAAGAAACACAGATACTGTAGCAAATATGGCACTTCATCTCAGGAAACACCCTGAAGTTGGCATGTGAGCTCACCCACTGGGTGAAGCACGCTGCTGTGGTCAAGTGGGGGGGAGGGTGTCGGAGGGAGCCGGTGGGGGTCTAAGGGCGGGTGGTGGAGCCCCCCCCCCAGTTCTGGGCAGCCGGCTGTGCTCCCGCTTTCGCCCAGAGCAGGTGCGACAAACTCCTTTTAAGGATCAGAGAGTATTTCAGGCTTTGTTGAGGCAGCAAGGAGGCTCACTGTATAGGTACCTGCATAACTAATTAAAATAAAACCACCTGAAAATGTCAGAACTATTCTAGGTTGAGACAGAAAACAAACAAGGCCATACTTAGTCGCTCCCTCACCTGGTTTTCTCAGACAAAATTATACATAAGCAAATGAGTTATATTCAGATTGTTTCTAATACGTCAATCATGTTGAAATAAATTTGCATTTTGAAAGAACAAACAGCAGAACTGACTAGATATGTCCGTTCATTACAGCAAGAAGGCCTCCAGTCTCGAGACTCACAGCATGTCTGGAACTGGCTCCACTTTCCCAGTTCTGTGTCCTGTTCCCCGTCACTTCCCATGCTGCAGTGCTGCTATACCCTGTGTCTGCTCAACTTTCAGATTCAGATAGCCTGCCCTCATTGCACTTCGTGTGTCTTTCTTTTTTAAGTGAACTTAAAATGTTGGCTTTTTAAAATACTTAAACATACTCAAGTAATCAATTTCACAACCAAACGGCAACTCAAGGTAAAATTTCTCATTAAATACATACCATGCCGTATCACGGCTAAAGAAAAGTTGAGCAGAGTTGATGATAAAATTTTATTTCTGACCAGAGTAACGAAAGATTTGTTCTCCATGCTTCAAAAAGGAAAGAAACAAAAGGTCTTAAGCAGGTCTCTGGCTTCTCTCTCGTTCCCTGCACATTGCAACCTCGCGTTTCTTGTTCTTCACTTTCTCTAAACCCAGAGGAGCGACAAAATAGGCAGCCTTGAAACAGCCCAAGCAGGGCCTGTGCCGGGTTCCAGAGCCACCGCCCGGGCGCCGTCTGCCCCAGGGAAGCCCGACAGCATCGCCGTGTCACAGGCCCTGCTGCGCTGCATGCACACCCTTTAACGTGGGCCGGGGGCGAGGGTTTTAAGAGACAGGAACAGAAAGGCTGGACTTACCTCATACAATAAAGACTTGGAAAGCTTAGAACTTAACTAGAAGTTTCAAACTTAGTCTTGTGCCCACGTGTAACTTCTCAGCTACCCACCACGAAACGCACTTTTGGAAAGGCCCTCTGGCTCTTCACCACTTCACTGCTCGGCAGCATCAGACCTGCCATTCTTCAGAAGCGAAGTTACTGAAGTCATGTAACCCCAAAGGGGCCGCACAGGGCTAGCCATTCTTCAAACACCCAACCCTCGCCAGCAGTCAGTGCCCCCAGGGTCCGTCCGCTTTTACTATTTAACAATGCAACAAATAGACTTCTAACTTTTTTCCTACAGTAACAGATGTTTCCACATAAAAATTATAAAATTTAAGTGTCAAACTTCCTATTTTCTCTTTGGCAACTCCTGTTGCTTGGACAGTCTTCACTCTCCCCCTTTCATCAGAAAAAGCCACCTGACAGAGGGCAGGTCAAAGGGGAGTCGGGAGTAGCAGGCCTCCCTGCCCGCCAGCGTGGTCCCTGAGGTAGGCGTCCATCCATCCTCGCAAAGGACACCTGGCGTGTGTGCGCGTCACCGCCTGAGCAGTCAGCACACACGGCGGGGCTCTCACCCAGCGCCCGAGCGCCATGCACCCCTGGGCTCTTCTGGGATGCTCGACGGTTTAGGACGGAGATCCCGGGTGGAGTTCTCTGACATTCTTCATCGTATGGGACGGCACTGTGGTTACAGAAGGCTGGTTTTCAAGTTGCAGTTTTATTGGTTTTAAAGATTTCAAGACCCTCCAGCATCATCTGTTTAAAGAAACGGAAAGGAAAACCAAAACATTAACTGGATCTTTAAAAAGTATTTGCAGTGGGATTTCTACTTCAAAAACTGGTTATAGTTTTCCTCATGTACTAAAGACTTTGAACACACCTCCATAATGGAAACAGTAGCCACCGTCTAGAAATAGCCTGTGAATTATAAATACCATCAGGGGACAAAGTAAATTATGACATTAGATCTGCAAAGCTCTGGAAATCTCACACATACAACGGGAGCCCAGGGAAGTGGAGAGAAGGATGGAGGTCAGGGCGTGTGCGCAATGGGCCTGCCTGCAGGTGGGAGCCTGCCACGCGCTCTGAGCTCTCCTGCCAGCAAGAACGGCCAGCAGCACTGGGAAGATGACCTCGGGTCTCTCCTCTGCGTGCAGAACGGAACAAAGCTTTCTGGAAGAAAGTGGCCTTAGAGGGCTTTGAAGCCAGAGCTCCCTGGGGAGGAGGCTGCTGGTGTGGGTGCTGGCCTCCAGGGGGTCCCCGCTGACTGGCCTGACCACTGCTCTGGAGCAAAGTCCAGCAGGCAGTGAGCTCTGCTGCCTGATACCACCACCCATGGGTCGCCCCAGGGGGAGAAAAGCTACATACACGCAGCAATGATCCACGCTCTGGACAGAGAACCGTCACCCGGGCCCGCTGCTCAGATCAGCAGGCCGCGGAGGAGCCCAGGCGTGCGGGCACAAGGAACAGGGCAGAGGCTAACGGGAAAGAGCCCCTGGTCCTGCAGGGACAACTCAGCGAACTCTAGCTTTAGCTTTTTATTTAGCTATAGATGTTCCTACCGGCTGAATTCACAATCCAAATATTTGCTAAGAGACTTCAAAGAATTTTATCCAAAATACCATCAAAATGGAACTCCCTCTGAAGATACGTGCACTGACGTACGAATCTGAGGGAGGGGTTGCGGAGTCAGCCGCAGCCAGGGAGCAGCCACCAGCACACTCACCTCCACCACCTCAGCCATCCCCTCCCGCCACCAGTCCTGACTCAGGCCACAGCGCACTGCCAGCAGCCACTTAAAAACCTGCCATGTTTGCTTTACTTGACTAAGGTCTGGTACGAGTCTCTGCATTTGTAACAGGCTGTTTCGACAGCACACGTTCCTTGCGGTGCAGGAGGAAGCGCGTGCCGCAGCGCTGCCCCAGCACCCGCTGAGGAGCCAGCTTAGACATGAAGCACGTCAGTAACAGCGTGGTGAGGGCTTCGCAGCTCTCAGAAGCGCGGGGTGGACTGTTACGCAGGTGCTTGAGAGTGTTGTACCGCGGTTTTCTTATCTAACAGAAAATAAAGCCAGTTATCTGGAAACCCTCTATCCTAACGTTTTCAGAAATGGAGCAGTCAGACAACCAGGAAATCCGAAAAGATACCTTCCTCATAAAACAACAGATGCTACGAGAGAGACTAGGTCAGAAAACAAGAGCTCTCAGAAGTTAACAATAACACTCAAAATTTAACCCAAGAAGTAGAATATGATTTTGAGAATCTCCCAGAAAGTTTTTGGGAAAAAAAGACAAAATGAAAATTCAGATATTAGAGAAAACAGAACACAGCAGAAGCCAACCTAGGAGGTCCTAACTAACACGGTTCCAGGAAGAGGGAACAGAGAAGACAGCCGGAGGGGGCAAAAAAACCCGAGCAAGGGACATCAAAAGGGTTTCCACCTACAGACGTCCTCATGAAATGTCTAAACATCAAGGAAGATCCTAAAAGCTTCCAGAAAGGGAAGCGACAGTTCACCTACAAACCACAGCAGCCTGAGCCGCAGACCCTCTTCCACAGGACACGCGGACACCCAAGATGGCAGAGCTCCAAGGGGGGATCAGAATGGCGGCTCCCGCACCACAGGCGACGAGCAGCCCCCGGGGAGCTGCAGGCCCTGCGCGGGGCCGAGGGGGCTCCTGGGGGACAGGCCAGCAGAGGGGGTGCGGGCGGGGAGAAGACAGACCCGCACGGTGGTCCAGGAGGGCGAGGAGGGCGCTCCAGGGCGACAGGTGCGCACCGCCCAGAACAAGCAGGTGGGCAGAGGATGACTCGGGAAATGAGGGGCAGGGTGACTGAGAGAAAGTGCATGTTTAAAAATACCATGAAATGTGTTTTTTTGGACCATAGGAGGAAAAGGAATCCAGAAATGCCTCAACAACAACAAAAAAAAAAAGCAACCCAACCACCACCAGTAGGCAACAGTCAAAAACGGGAGCAGAGCTAATGGAATGTAAGGAAACGCGGGACCTCGGTATCACGACCCCTCCGCTAGCGCAGCAGCCGGGGCCCGGGCCCAGGGGCGCGGCCCGCGGGCGCGCTGACCAGGAAAGACTGCTTCCTCCCTGTTTCTTAAGTAATTGCTTTTGTTTCCCAACTTTTAGTGCCAACCTACAGACGGCCCAGAGGGCGTATCCCCCTTCAGTCCTGGAGCCCAGTGCCAGACGCCGAGGAGGCAGCAGCGGTGGGGGGAGGCGGGGGGGCAGGGGCTGCGGCAGCCTAGGCTTCTCACCGGGAAGTCACAATAACGTCAGCAAGTGCGCTAGTTAAACAACAGAAACTAGACTCCCGAAACCTGGCAGGAGACAGTATGAGTGAGCCAGGTCGCCTTTCCTAGGGTCAACAGAGGTTGTCTATTTAAATGCACAGTTTAAATCAATATTTAAATCAAGATTTAAATATTCAAATAAATCTAATTCAGTGATAAGAGGTTAACAAAAAAATGACTCAGTGGTTTTCCCTGGAGACTACAGTGACATAAGTCAAGATGGTGCTCACCCCAGGGCAGTGAGGGAGCGACTGAAAAGCGATGGGGGATGGGGGCAGCGAGGCTCCGACAACGTTCCGTTTCTTGAACTGGAGGTGACTACGTGGGGGTATCGCTTTGTGAAAATTCACTGGGCTGACCTTACAATTTGTGTGCTTTTTCTGTGTGTCTTTCTTCAACAACATGCTAACTTTAACAGACACCTTTTGGTGGATACCTCTGGGCGGCTGGAGTGACATACGCATTGCCCCCTCCACCAAGGGGCTTTGAAGCGGAGCACTGGAACTGAGGACACCCCACAAACAAGGCCCGCTGCACTAGGTCCCCCCGGAAAGAAAGGACACTGTACCAGTATCTGATTGTCTGGGTTTTTTTGAAACTTCAATTCCATTTTCTTCTAATTTCCTCTTTGCACAGTCCTGGCATGCATTACCTGAAAGGTGAAAACTTTAATTAAAAAGCTTATCTAAGGATGGCTGTCATCAAAAAGAAAACAAATAACAAGGGTTGGTGAGGATGTGGAGAGATGGGAAGCCCTGTGCACTGCTGGGGGGAATGTAAACTAGCGCAGCTGCTATGGAAAACAGTACGGAGGGTTCTCCACAAACTAAACAGAACTACCATATGACCCAGCAATCCCACTCCTAGGTATATATCTGAAAAAAACAAAGACACTAATTCGAAAAGACACATGCACCTCAGGGTTCACAGCAGCACTATTTACAATTGCCAAGATATGAAAGCGACCTAAATGTCCATTAACAGATGACTGGATAAAGATGTGGTGTGTGTAATGTATACACAACGGAATACTACTCAGCCATAAAAAAGAAAAATGAAAATGTTGCCATTTACAGCAACATGGATGGACTTGGAGGGCATTATACCAAGTAAAATAAGTCAGACAGAGAAAGACAAATACTGAGTATCATTTATATGTAGAATCCAAAAAATAGAACAAAAAAGCAGCAGACTCACAGATACAGAGAACAAACTAGCATTTACCAGAGGAGAGAGGGGAAGGGGGGAGGGACGATATAGGGGTAACAGATTAAGAGATATAAACTATTAGGTATAAAATAAGCTACAAGGATATATTGTACAACACAGGGAAAACAGTCGATATTTTATAATAACTATAAATGGAGCATAACCTTCAAAAAATTGTGAAGCATATTATATACCTGTAACTTACATGATACTATACAGCAACTAAGCAACTATACTTCAATTAAAAATTTTTTGAAAATTAAAAAAAAAAGCTCATCTATTCTAGAATCTACCCTCTGAGATCCAGTCTCTAAATCTGATTTTACTGACACACTAACCAAATAATCCCTGCCATGTGTGACAGATGTCTATCAAGTTACTGCTTTTTTCAAAAGAAATGGATGGTTCTGGAGTCAGAGAAAGCAACTATAATAAATGTGACCTTTCACAAGGACATAAGGTAGAAACGGAAGGCTGAGGACAACTGTTGAAATTCCTAAACGGAAGCCCACCCGGCACTACGGCGTTTCCCGTCTGCAGCTCTGCTGGGGCCCGCGGGGACCCGGGGCACAGAGGCCCCCGCCAACCCAACTGACGGGCCGACGTGGGGAGACCTGCGCCAGGTTCACCCCAGGCGGGCGCAGCAGCCGCTGAGCTCGGTCCCAGCTCGTCAATAAACGGGCAGAGTCGAGCCCAGAAGGATACTCGTGTTCCAAACAAGTAATAAACAGAAAATTTTACAAGAATGCTAAAAACTTTGCAGTTAAAATCTCTGAAGGGGATGGGTCAAAAATTACTCCATCTTAGACCAAATGGTATGACACAAGCAGCGTCTCGTTCTGACCCCAGCGACTAACTCCGGGTTCTAGGACAGGCGGTTACTCTCAGGCGCCAGCAGCTGGCCCACGTTTGACAGCTGCCTCCCGGCCGAAGGGCTGCACTGTTAGCCCCTTCCTTGTGGCGGGACCACCACTGCTATTTCCATTGCTGGTGGGGCTGCCTGCACACAACACGGGCTAAGAATTTAACGTGAGAAACACTTCTGTGACTTTATAAACGATGGCAGGAAGCCAGAGACGCGTGTCGGCCAGAAACAGGCTGGTACAATCGGTCGGCCTTACCCAGCAGCGTGGTGCTGTCCACTCGCTCGGCATCTGGAGAAGAAAGAAGACAGTCAGCACAGCCGAGGCTCCAGGCGCCTCCTCCTCGGCCGCTCGGCTCCGGGCGGGGGCGGAGCAGAGAGGCCGCCGCGGAGCCGCGCACACACAGACAGCACGCACACACGGAGACGG